GCCAGCGCGGGCAGAGCGTAGAATTACACTTTCATCATTCTCCTCGATGCTTGGGTAATTTAGTAACAGGTCTATTTCCACTGGAGCCAAATTACACGGCTTTCAATTTATGATGGTGTTATATAGAGTTCTTACTTGCTGGCCAACAATGCTGCCGGTGTACCGCCCGCCTTTCGCTGCTCACGTCTTCCTCATCGTTTCTAGGACTGAACTTCGTCGTACTCTTTCGAACCTTGAAGGAAATTTCAACGAGACTTGTCTTCAATTCAGACAGTCAGACATTTCGAAATTTTTCAAACAAGGGTTAATTTAGTTTTACCCTACCCAATATTTATACCACGAGCAACAAAAATAATTTCTTAAGCCCAAATGCATGACGCGCTGCATCGCGACAACCCGGTAGCGGATAGGGTGCCTACATATCTGTCTGTCTCAGGGTGACGACATCCATTGTTGCCCTGAATGTGCCAGTGCGTGACGCTCTCGCGCGCTCGGTGCGTGACGTGGGCGGTATAATGGCGTCTATGCATTAGCCAAAGTTACGCGCTCGAGCTGAGTGACACGGGATTGCGTGCACTTCAAAATGCATTAAAAAAAAAACAATTGGGCGGAAAAATGGCTGAGATGTCACCACTCAAGCAACAAAAGCGCGCGTGTGTATGAACTATGAAGGCACCTAGTAACGGGCGTTCTTGGGTCCCCCCTTTTTGGGAAGTTTTCAACGAAAGCCACTTATATTCTCTACAATAGGCGACACCAGCTACCACCCCATAATAAAAGACGGAGCCTATGGCGTTTCCAGCCCTCGTCAAACTTGGCTAGGTCCTTGTAGGTATCTGGTAGGGAAGGGCGGTTAACTTTTTGCCGCGGGACCAGTAATGTACAACAAACGTAAGTGAAAGCGTCTCGCCCGTTATTAGTCCTTTCCCGACAATTTACGTTTTACAGGCTCTAAAACTGAAATTTGAGCTAAATCAAAGTGTCCCGAGGTCAAAAAAGTCGAAGCTTTTCTTATGGAAATTGTCACCCTCCGTATGCTCTACATTTTTTTGCCACTAGTTCAACATCTTCCAGTCGACAGCAGCTAAAACGCTTGCTGTTCCTCCTGTTTTCCTCTGTTCTCAATGGCTCCAGCTGTAGGGATTTTGGAGGCTGAGGAAGCTTTTGGAAGCCTGCACCAGTGTCTCACTTGGAAATGACAATCCCAACTAAACGGTGTATATGCCGAATACACGAGGCTGGAATAAAAAAAAATGTTAGGAAAAAGCATAAACATTATAAATCACGGCACTACATTGCTGGGCATATTTTGAGCAGCTCAATACAACATTGCATACAGGAAACTGGGAGCAATTCGGCCGTTTTTGTCACCATACAGACATGTTTCCAGTAATTGTGCGTGTTCTAAAAAAAGGAAATAAAAAAATCGTTCCTGCCCATATGTGTACCAACTATATCATTATTTCACGTCACGAAGAAGCTACCTAAATCAACCCTGTTCAACGAGCATTTCATAGACCTTCAGACCCAGGGTCTTTAATTGCGAACCAGCGTATGCAGAGTGGCACGCGCAGTGTCGGGGTCGCGAGTTAATTTGTTGACCGCCTAAAGGCCTTCGATATAAATGCCATTTGAAAGGTTCGCTAAGCGCGGTGCAATATTCCACTAACTCATGAACATGCAAGGAACAGAATTTCAGCGGCTGAAGCACTTACGCCACCGCTTCATGCACCGACCCCTCGCACGATCGCCTTGTGTAGTTTGGAAGGACTAGGAAGTTCATCAAAGGAAATTTTCTCCTCCGATAGCTTCCGGTTTTTGTAGCCTAATTATAAAGGTCGAAGTGACAAACACAATTAGAAAAGGTACGAAAGCACGTTGGTATCGGTCTTACCCGGCGTCTTGTACACCGGATAAACGAAGTTCCGCTCCTCGAAATGTTTGAGGCATACAACGGCCGATATTGACGGTGCCTTTCCCATCCTTAGTTTAATTGTTCATGATTTTTTTTTTTTTTTTTTTTTCAATTTGGGCGTTTTTTGGCGGTGAAAACTAATACCTGCTTCTTTTCGGGATTTGCATCAGCAATGCATAATTACAAACCCGGTGGTGAGCAAATGGGCGCAGGGAAGCGAGCCGGATGCCAGATCGCGAAACGGAGTCCTTCCCCTGACGTCACACTACACCTCACCCAATCAAGGCGAGGCGACCACAGCGACACTTGTGTTGGCTCTCGGGGATAATAACGCATGAAATGCTGTGAAACACCCTGGGAGCGACATCAAGAACCCAGGTCGGGGGACAGGAAGGCTGGGAAGGAGGAAGCAGGAGGAATGCAGGAGAGAGGGGGTATGGTTCCTCCTCTCTTCTCCAGCATTCCATCTGCTTCCTCCCCCCCCCCCCCCCCCCCCCCCCACCCCCGCCCTGACCTGTCGCCGACTATGGTGTTGCTTGGAGGGGAAGGGATGGGGAGAGAAAAGGAGAGGGGTGTCACAAGACGTAAATTTTTCCGCTAAATTTAGCGGGCAACTGAGTTGGCGTTAGGTCGCATGACGTCAGTATCCTGCGAAATTTAACGGGGGAACTGAATTTATTTTTTGGTCAAAAGATGTGAAATGTCTCGCTAAATTTAGCAGGAAAACTGAGTTGACGTATAGGTCACGTGCCGCCAGTTTCCCCAAGGTGTTTAGGTCACATGACGTCACATGACGCCTCTTCCCCTATTAAATTTAGCGGAAAATGCACAGACGGACAGACAAAAGTTTGGGATTGGGGGTAGCGTTAACGCTTTAGTAGAGCCTTGTTAGCGCTAAAGTAGCCCCTTGTTAGCCAGTAGCGCCTTGTTTGCGCTTCAGTAGCGCCGTGTTAGCGCTCCAGTAGCACTTCTTGCACCGCGGAGCTGAAGCGCTAACCGAGCGCTAGATAGCGCCACATGAGCGCTCCTTTGAGCGCTCACGTAGCGCTAGCTTAGCGTTCCGCTGTATGTCTGAACCGGCCTTAAAGGGAACATGAGTATAACCCCCGTTTAGTACAGCAAGACAAGTAATTTGAGTCAATGTGATCATGCTTGCGCATGTCTACTCCCATAACTTTTAAATTGCCACACAAGGATTGTCCTCGAGTATGGACATCATATATATTGCTCTCGTTCCAGGGCAATTATCCAAAATATGCACCTGGAAAGAAAAAACAAACAAACAAGCTCGTACGGTTTGTCGAAATAGCTAAAGGCACGCAGTTTCTCCCTTTTTTCTGTGTGTATTTGGGTGGGAGGGACGGGGGGGGGGGGGGGGGGGGGTATAAAAATATATTTTTAAAAAACGTTCAGTTAATTGTTTGCAGACGATATCAACACCGGCATCCCTGTTCTTTGTAATCGACAGGAAAGCTTTTTTACCGGCTCCTATAAAAGGAAAGGAACTCATTCAGAACAGATTTGGGAAGTAATCCGTTACTTTTTCAAGTAATTTTGTAATTGCCACGCTAATTTTTTCGGAAGAAATTTGTAATGTAATATCGTTACAAAATATTGGTAACGGATTATTTTACTTACTCGTTACTTTAAAAAAAAATATATGATCATAATACAGTAACTGGAGCAATACGAGCAGAACATTAAGCAGCATAAAGAAAGCAAGTTCAGCAAATTAGAAAACATCAGGAAGGGGAGAACATCCGAAAAGAAAACACGATTTTTTGTATGACCGGTCACTAGGACGACAAGAAAAACGGGCAAGGCGTGTACAATTATACGAAAGAGAAAGATCAAGTAAGACAACGCCGAGTCAGCACCACGCCAAGTAGGCTCTCCGTCGCCTTGCCATCGTATTTTTTCTTCGTCTCCTGGGCAGGAGAAAGCGCTTCGTGTTTATTTGTTTTTGTCTTTTACACCGTTTCACCCTTTCCAACTTCTTCGGCGTCTCCTGCCACTTGCACAGACGTCAAACGCGAGTCCATACCCCCTCGATTCGCGGGTTCACAACTCGCGTAACAGACGATGTAGCCTCGCGCGAGGGGGTCGAATTCTCTCTGATGCTCTATTGTTTTGTGAGACCGATGGCCACCGCTTCTCTCGCTCTCTATGCTCTCCCCTCCCCTGGCCTCCACGAATATTGGTATGAAAGTGAGAACCGATGAACGATCGATAACCTGTAACCGCCACTTTTATTTTTCTGACTGGTCGAGTTTTCGGTCATGGAGTGTCCGTCGTCTCCATGGCCATCTCTTCGTGAGATGTTCAAAATTCAAGGCATTAAGGAGAGCGGAAATCTAGGGTTACCGTGTATACATTGCTTGCCAAAAAAAAAAAAAAAAAAAAAAAGACGCATTGTTATCAGCAAGAGCGACAAACTCTAATCTACGGAAACACATCAAACACCTGCATTCTGCATTGGCTATATATTGTAAAGTTAGAACCAAGTTTTTCATTTCTTGCGATTAACAGGCAAAACACCCGAGTCAGAAGGGAGCTTTCGTAGATCGCTTCTTTAGCTCCGAATCTCCAACCGAAGGTAGACGCTGCTACTGAGCATGCGCACCGCTAGCTTTGTCTGCACAGCTCCAGGGACCAATTCCGGAGGCCGTAAGCTAGCGGGATGGCGGCTGTGGTTGCAACTTTCGTTGACTTGTCAGCTTACAGGTGAACGGAGTGCACCTACATTCTTTCTCTTAAATACAATGTTTTATTTTTACAAGGCCTGCCATAATACGGGCGTATAAAAATGAAAAGTAGTGTTGTAGAACATTTTTGGAAAGTATCAGAACTGTTTATATTATTTTCTGGATAAGTGTACGGAAAAAGTAACGTGAAAGTAATTTGTAACGTAACGAGTAAAGTAATCCGTTACTTTTCAGCGAAAGTAATTTGTAACGGTAATTCATGACATTTGAGGATCGGAAATTTGTAATTGTAATCCATTACATTTTTCAGGTAACGAGCACATTTCTGCTTCAGACTAATGTTTATTCGCGCACATCTTCGCTATCCTTCGCACATAATCATCTAAACTTCCGCAGTGGCAAGCGCAATGGATTCAACATCGGCGAGACACGATGCCCCGTTAGACGGCGGAACGGTTCCGTCGAACCGTGCACTTCCGTGGTCAATCGTCACTGGCGCTTGAACTTGCCCATGCACTTAAAGAAGTCCTTGGTGCAACCCATGATGTGGCAATGGAATTCCAGTCTCTCTTCTTCCCCGAGGCGGCGCATGTAGTTGGCAATCATATTGCCGAACTGGTCGCACTCGTCGTAGAACTGCGAGGACGTGTTGAGAGACTGGACGCAGTCGACGCGCGGGACCGGGCTCGGCGTAGGCTCTGGGAAGGGCTCGACGTCGCATCGCGGCCTCTTCACCTGCACGAAGGACAGGTCGTCGGGAGCGTCCTCGGGAGTTGGCTCCTTCTTGAAGGCCGTCAGGTCCTCGGCTTCCAAGTCGACGCAGAGGTTCGTCTCGTCCAGGTAGGCTCCTTCCAGGTCCACCTCCAAGAAAAAGACAAAAGAAAAATGTCGATATAAATGAGGGGAAGAACATAAAACACATGGATATGGTTTACGTTCTTCCCCTATAAATATTATCCTTACCAGCACGCTTTGCATTTCAAGTAAAAATGTTGACCCACAACGAATTAGAAAAATAAATAAAAAAATATAACAGCGGCTTTTGTCGCCATGCGGGACCGGGCTGCGAAAGCAGTACGTATTTAATAAGCGATCGTTTAAATTTGTTCTTGAGAGAGAATAAACATTCGTTTTGAAGAGTAAAAAAGAATAGCTTGTCCCCTACTTGGGCCAATACCAGCTACAAGACAGCGCCTCGCCTCGCCTCGCTTCGCCCCCCCCCCCCCTCCCCCCCCCCCCCCCGCACCCCACCCAAAGAAAAAAGAAAAAAGAAACCCGCCTAGAAGACAAGGCCTTAGTGCTGACATTTTTGCGTCACCAGCCAAGGCCAACGCTGGACACAGATTGGAAACGAGTGCTGCGTCAGCGCTCCGCTTCGAGTCAAGTTTGAGCCGAACGTTGACGCACTCCTCTTGTCAAATCTGTGACCAGCGTTTGACTTCGCTGATGAAGACGTCTCTACCAGCACTACGGCTTTGTGCTACGGCCCCCCAACCAACCGCTATCGCACAAAAGCGCAATAACATACAATATACAGTGGTCGCTCAAAACAATTGTACGGGATTATACAAAGAATAAAGCATAGGGTAAACACTAGCAATCAAGAAGACCAAGTAAAGACACGTTAAACAATTTATTCCATAGGGCATGATGGAAGATACTTTGTTTTTAAACCTGTGCCTTGACTCCCACAGTCCTGCCTAATTTCTAAACCGGCAGGATGTTTGTTTAGGAAATCACGCATTAAGTATGCCAATTGGTGTACTGCAGAGTTTGTCCTTGACCGAGATGTTACACAGGCTGTTCAATCTTAATTCTAAGAGATTTATTACAAAAAAAATAAATAAAAAAATTCGTAAAAGGTTGACTAATGCAGTCTGCTCAGGTGAGTAGATTGTCATCCGCGTTTCCTCACCTTTTCACCTGCTGCACGAGTGGCAACTTTGGTGCACCCCCCCCCCTTTCCCACGTGCTTCGTCTTTCTAAAATCTGATTTAGTAATTTCCAATGACACTCAGCAAGTTTTTAATTGAAACCATATGTGCAGTGTCACAAATTAAGTAGTAGTCAATTAAGAATTTTTAGTTCATTATGCGACTTACTGTGAAGATTAGCCGCCTACATAATGTTCCCCTGGCCGCATAACTCACCAGCACAAATTGCATTATTATAATTATACCTATTACGAATTTTTTGTCATAAATATGCTCACATTAAAAGAAAACACCCTGTATGCGAGCCACGACGAAGATTGCATTCCGTACTAGTAGGAAGGAAGGGGTCGAAGAATGTGCACAGGTCGCGTTTTATCTCATTGGAGATTTTAATTGAAAGTTTCGGTGGGGAAGACCTGTGTGTAATGCCAAGAAAAGTGTGTTTAAATATAAAACGGCATTATGGGACCATTGCGCTGAAACTTTTCCATACAACATCCTGCCTTTTTTTTTTTTTTTATAAAACATTTTTATGTTAGTCGTTAGTCGTAATCGCATCTTCATTACTGCTTACTTAAGCAGTAATGAAGATGCGAATACACTATAAAAAAGTATAACGACGCTTTAACCAGCTTTGAACCAGCAACCTTATTTTGTATAAAATGCCAATAGATCTGGATATGCTCGCGTAAATTGTATTTATTCTTCGGGATCCTTCGAAAGGGATTCCTAAAAATTACTACGCGGTTTCAAAATTAAGTATTTTGTTTTCGCGACATTTAACTGAATCTAATATGAATCGAGCCAGAGGGATAACTCAATTAGACTCCCATTAGCAGTAATTCAATAATATTGTAAATATGTGGAAAAAAATTGCCTCGCAAGCGTACAAAACTGTGTCAGTGGTTTGAGATATATGTACAATGTCATTAATATATAAAATTTAATAAAAAAAACGGTCTAATCCACAGGGGTTGTATAGACCCCTGTGAGACTCTATATGGAATTGATCGAGCTGACAAGTACCTGCGAACCAAATCTAATTGCACTACCTCTAATTTCGTAATACGGTAATTTATAATACAAAATATCGTACTTAATGAAATCAAAGACATTCCTAAAATCGAGAAACATTCCAGTTGTGATTTTGTTTTATTTTCAATGTTATTTATCAATTATTATTTCTTTTAATATTCAGCAGTGTTATTTTAGTTGACTTTCCTACCCAAAAATCGCACCGTTCCTTCAGAAAAACGGCTGTCTCGTTAAGAAAGTCACCAAGGCGTTTTTCTCTTTTTTTTTATATATAGGACGTGCAAGCACTTTTTAGAATGTTGTGAATATAGCCTTCCTTGTGTAAAACAACAACTTCTGCAAATTGTCATGCCGTCAGGAAACATGCGTGTTGCCAATGCATTATTGCGGATAGGCTGCAGAGGGAAACACGAAAGGTCACCCAAGTAGCACAACTCGCCGGTTTGGGACTGGGGCGGTACCGGTCTGCCGGTAAGATCCTACTGGGGCGACGCTGGAAACGCACCGCGGGGCGACAACGGGCCAGTGAGATTGCCAGTCACTGGCCAGTGACTGGGACGCCCGGCACTGGGCGTCCCAGCGAGTTCCCGGGATGCTGCCAGCACAAATCCCCAGCGTAGTACCAGTAACGTGGTAAGATACCAGCAAGACCCCAGGCTAGCGGCCTCAAGCCATACAGTCCCCGGGCTTGTTTTGTCCCACTGAGTTCCCGGGCTGCTGCCAGCACAAATCCCCAGCGTAGTACCAGAAACGCGGCAAGATACCAGCAAGACCCCAGGCTAGCGGCCTCAAGCCATACAGTTCCCGGGCTTGTTTTGTCCCAGCGAGTTCCCGGGCTGCTGCCAGCACAAATCCCCGGTGCACTACCAGCAGTACCGCAAGATACCAGCAAGACCCCAGGCTAGCGGGCTAAAATCGTACAGTTCCCGGTCTTGTCATACAGCCTAACATGTGGTTTTGTGTGCAATTTACACCTGAATAGAAATGATGTAGTTCATAAGAAGAATAATTTTAACAACAAATGGGTGTAAACAATTATGTTGCATTGTACATGAAAGTAAATTTCTGGCATAGGTATACACCTTATTGGTAAAGCGGCTGCCACAGCCATCTGTCGCTCATACACATGATAGCAAATGAAACATACAAAATTGTTACCGTAATTGTTTATTGTCAGCTCCAGTGAAGCTACAGCTTGGCTGGTCATCATGGGCTTGTCGCTAGAGGAGTGCGCTGGATGAAAGAGGCTGCATGTCACGGGCCTAGGAAATGTTCTTCACACTTTTCATGCAGCTTGTGATGCAAGTCGACCATGCACCCAGGAAGGGGAGTCCTTCATTAGAGCACCTGCAAAGAGAATCAACAGCACAGTAAAATGACAGGGTAAATCAATACCAGCTGCACATGATAATCCAGAAATTCCAAACTGGGCAAGCGCTTAAAAGGTTAAAACAGCGCAAAGGACGACGGACAGGGTAAAGGACACGGACAGAGCGCTGACTCGAAACCAAATTTTCATTGAACTCAACGGCGCAATATATACGCACTATTGAGAACAAAAAAAAGAAAATCAGCCTGAAAAACACCCAAAACAAAAGCACAAAAACTAAGTATCACCTCTAAAAAGATAAACCAAGCTAATCAAGTGGCCAGAAAACCAGAGGCATTAGACAAGAAGCCCATGTAAAAGAAAAGCTTTTTGTAACCAATGCGTTAATTGTCTTCATTTCATTTTCAATCTGGAAACTATATCAAAACAAAAATACTTTGATTGCCCTAAGGGACACCTGTTACAACACACTGGATAACCAAGCGGCAAAAATGGCCCAGTTATCTCATAATCAAGGTTAGCTATTTGCATGAAGGCCCACTTCAAAGAAAGGCTCGTGGAAATCATCTACTTTAATTCAAAAGGGCATGTCGAGAGACGGGCAAACTCGCCGGAGTAGTTGGCATGTAGTTTAACATTGCCGTTCGTCCCGATAGGTGCGAGAGATCCAGCATTTTTAGGTAAATATAGCGATTCATTAGTCTTACTGAGACAATGACAAATCATATCCTTGACATATTCGAGACCCTAGCAAAACGGACAGCACCAAGCGGGAAAACCGGAAACCAGCCAGAACAGGTCGCTCTGCGCCTCTCCACGTCTCTGGCGGCTTTCGCGGACACGTGTTGTCGACGCGGTGGCAAACAATGTAATTTGATGAAGGTCTGAATATTTCTCAAGTTTGCCTGAGTGTTCATCAGTGTGATGAAGCCTCAGTAAATTGTTTTTTTCTATCACGTATTTGAAAGCCTGTTTACTCCACAACACACAATCGCGTGCTTTCAATTTCTTGGATGGGGAGGAATCAAGGAAAAACGTTTTGATATCTTCTCTGTCCCGAATGACATTCAAAGTGACGACTACTCGGTAACTGATAAGTGGTATGTAAAACAGACGAGGTGTCTCACTGGAGGGAACCCCAATGCTGCAGTCAAGTGAATGGGAAGGTTCAATAGCTGCTTTTCTTGAATTTGGCTGTGTTTGATTAGCGTCAAGATTGAGCCACCCACGCTGGTCGGTGCATTGGCTATTCATCTTGGCAGCTTTTCACCGAAAAAGCCTCTGGACCACACCGAAAAAGTTGGGCTGATTTCGCATCTACTTGATCCTCGAAAACCTCCTCGCTGCATACGATTAATGAGGGATATTGTCTGCTTTCAAAAAATGGGGGACGCGTCTCGCAAAGTTAGAAGCTGTCACAACATTATGATCTATTGCGCCTCCAATATTTATAATATACCCTCGTTGAAGCCAGCAGCAATATCCGTCTACATTGCTCAGGTTGTCCGGCCACAAAAGATACTCTCTTTCTCCATTCAGGATTTGAAGTCAAGTTTAATGCA